TCGGAGAGAAGCTTCGCCGCTGTCGACTTTTAATTAAATCGTAATATTTCCGGGAACATATAAGAGAAATTGGTTTGCATTCGTCGCGGCTGAGAGTGAAGACTTACAGATGAAGGTAATAAAACATGAACTTGAAGAATTTCCAGTCTTTATTTTTACTCATATAAAATCATCTCCATAGTTGTTTATCCAATCAATAATGAAATTCAATAAATTGCTATTTACATTGATTCGTAAATTTAAGACGCAGGCACTTTCGACGGGGAAGGCAAAGCGAAGAGATGTTAGCAATGTGAAAGCCAGGAAAAGAGTGACGCAGTTTATTTCCTAGCGGTATTTATACGAAGTACATGGAGAGAGTACTCTAAGCTATGATTGGTTAATTTGAGGTTGTTATATAATCATCGAAGATTCTCGAAAGTACTCGAAAGAAAAGGGGCAAGATCCTAAAATTGCGGAAAGTTAATTAGAGGTTCCCTGTTCGCGCAGAGCAAAGCCATCGTGTTTCTTATATCTTACACACACACATGTATATATATGTCATATTAAAAGCACAAAGGAAATGGAAAAGACAGAACACTGTAGATGCGTAGTTATCCTATATTGAAGAGGAAGTAATCTGATTGCGTCGTAAGCTAATGTGTTGACTTCGTAAATAAAACTTGGCAGTAGAAGCGATTTTAATTCCATTTTTATTTCCAATTGATATTTGTGGGCCACAATCACTTGTCACTCTAGTCGTGCCTTTCCACAGAAGATTTACATTTTTTGATATTGTTGAGATAGAAAGCAAGCCAGCGAAATTACATCTTAGCAGAGTAGAGGGCAAAAGCTGAGTGCGTGTTCGTAGTTATGCAAGGATGGAGGCACGCGAAGAGAAAAAGTTTCGGTTTGCAATTTGGTGATTGGTCGAGAGGGATCTGCATTATGGGTTAAGTAAGATCGCATGATTAATTTGAATGACGCAATGCAGATAAGTTATTACGATTTAGAATAGAGAGGAAGAATTAATGTTTATAGTTATATATATAATTCTGATTCATATATTTTTTATCTTACATATTCCCCCTTCAAAAAGAAAAATGCGTAGCGCGTAGCGACAGAGAAGCCTTTTTAAAGACAAAGAGTTAAAGCACTAGCAAATTTAAAAAGAAATATAAAATAAATAATAAAAATTTTGATGCTGTAAAGTATTATTTATAAATATCAATTTTTTTTAAAATAAATTCTTAATTTTTAGAGTCCTATTGAATTTTTCAACATTTCAGTCCAAAAGTCTTTTTGTTTGAGAGTTCACATAATCATAATTCTTCAGGGAAGGTTCTTGTTATCGCAGAATATCACAAAATAAACTTTTACTTAATGATTACTTATAAATATTTATGATATTAATTTTCATACTGATAAATTATAATTTAACAGCATATAATAATAGGAGTAAGCTTCAGAAAATATGGTTTCACCGTTATTATCTTTCATTTGCAATTCCTGATTTTACCAAACTGGAAGCCTTGCAATACTTCTAAACAAACATATCCATCAATAGGGCTGTCCTCTTGAGCTAACCAGTGTGTTCTATGCACTGGTGGCCCAGGGGGTGCTAGGCAGTTACTTGAAAAGGCCTCCGTTCCTTGCCATAAGTAACTGGCCTTTGGCGAACTGCACTAAACATTCCATAATAAAAAAAATTAATAATATAAAAAAATTTACATGCATTCATAAAAATGAGAGCCTCAACATTATCTTGCATGAAGAGCCCAGAATTGTTATTATTTTTAGAAGGAAGACGAAATTTAAAGGGCTATTATTAATTTATATTTGAAAGAAAATATATGTTATATTTTACATATGTATAATATAATATATATTATATATATATATAATTCGCAAAAAACGCTACGTTTCTTTAAGTATTCTTAACAAACACTTAAGAAAAAAGTTATTTTTTAGATTTACTAGAGCAAAATTGTAAATTGTCGTGTACTTTGTAAACGAAGATGCTAAATAATAATAATTTATTTATTAAGTTCATAAAATACATTTATCCATTAAAAGAAGCATTATAAAAACATTGCATAATTTTATTTAAATCACTTATCTTAAAGCTTTGAAATACAATCACATCATTCGCACATAGATATTTAAAAAAGAAGAAGAATATTTTACACGGTTGCAAAACTGTTATAAATTAACATATATCGGATTGGATTGGATTGGATTATTGTAATTTGGCTATCTGCGCCAGACAAATGGTAACAATGCTATTAGTCATTTGTAAAACTTCCAGCTTAGGTAAAAAGAGACAGATTACAATCTATGATAAAAGCTGATATCTTTAAAAAAACAGGTTAAAGTCTATTATAAAAGCCAATATCTTTTAAAAACAGAAACAAATTACGATGATGTGTTTTTCCATTAATTTCCAATTAAATTTTTTAAGTCCAGTTCTGAACAATTAAAATGTTTTTGGCGAAAATAATTAAAACTCTGGCATTCCACCAAGATATGATGGACTGTCAGATCTGCATTGCAGTTTGGGCAGCTGGGATTCTCTTCTCCCTTCAGAAGATACTCATGGGTCAGGCGACAATGGCCAATTCTCAGTTGAGTCAAGAGGACATCTTCCCTTTCTATTAGCCATACATGGCCAGTATCCAATGGTGGGTTTTACATTTCTCAGCTTGTTATATACTTTGTCATCCCATTGCTTCTGCCATTTGCTGAGGATTTTGCTTTTGACAAACCCTTTGATGTCTGCTAGTGGAATCTGAAGATTGTACATTGTGGTTGCAGTTTTAGCTGCAATATCTGCCAATTCATTCCCCTTAATGGCAACGTGTCCAGGGATCCACGAATAAAGAATCTGGTATCCCCGAATTTTTAAAAGAATGATTCAACTTCAGGATTCTGATTGCAACTGGATGAATACATTGAGCGTGATTTTTCAATGACATTAAGGCACTCATGGAATCTGTGTAGATAATAAATTTTGTGTACTTTTGTTTTTGAAAGGTAAGTCAAAGCCAGATGGATTGCAGTAAGCTCAGAAGTAAGCACAGAGCAAACTGTATGTAATCGAAACCCCTACTATTGTTTTCTCTGTGACGAAAGCGGCACACCAACATGATCCTGGGATTTTGATCCGTCTGTATATAGAGGGATATATTTCCTATATTTGTTTCTATGTTCAAAAAAAAAAAAAAAATCTGCTTGTAGATGATGATTCATTTCGTTAGTTTGTGATTTACTTCCAGTGTCGAAAAGTATCCAGAGAATGGATTCTCCAATCCTCCCAGGAGAGGAATTCCAAAAAAAAAAAAAAAAATCCTCCACCTGTATATCTATATTAGACAAATTATACTCCTCCACCAAAAGCACTCATCCGCAAGCCGAAAGATGGGACACATGATGGTCGTGCCTGATACAAACGGGAGTATTGGTCATTAAGCAATTTTGATCGCGTAGAATTTTCGGTTTGTGATAAGACTTTGAAATAATGCTTAAAACAAAGGTTTTCACGTCTTAACCGCAGGGAGGTCTCGTTACTTTCCACATATAAGCTTTCCACTGGAGAAGTTCTAAAGGCACCAGTGCATATCCGAAGTGCTTGGTGATGTATCGGATCAAGTTTGGCTAATACTGAAGGCCTTAACATATATCCAAGCGATAGTTAGTTTTGTAACAAAAGGACTCTAGTTGCTTTTCATTGCTGCAAAAGAGTTGTATAACTAGAGTTCTTTACAATTCTTGTAATAGAGTGGGAGCAGCTAGTACGTCATTTCTTTGATAATATCCAAAGAAGAGAATATGAGCGGCTGTACGTTTCCGTCACTTCCAATAGTTCATAACATGTTTAAATGTTGTTCTGAATGTGCGTTAACATTTCTTAGCAGGAAACGTACGAGAATTCTCGTATTTAAAAATTATTTATTTTATAAGCATGCCAAACCTACGTCTTTTAGAGATATACCCTGTTTATAAACATTAACAGCGTTCAGAAGTCAAACAACAAAAATCAGCGTTAATTCACAAAATTGACTTCTGAATCATGTTTTTTCGGCATGTTACTGTGTCTTAATTATTAGCAGCGTTGTTTGAAATTACAGGGGATTCTTAATTAACTTCGCTAGATTAATCTTCGGTGCTCCAGTCCACCTGAGGAAGATCTGTGAACATAATATACTCTTTTGTGTTGCATAAAGCTTTGTCGTGCTGATTTAAATAACGTCTAAATATTCTAATATAATGAAAATAGGACTGTACGACATATGCGAATATTTATATTTTGGGATAAATTGTAAAACTTTTGCCATAAAGAGCCGTTGTAAAGCAAATTAATTGTAAAATACAGTTAAGAAATTCAAAGTGATAATTGCGTCGTGTTTCCCTTTATCGTTTTATTGTTCGTCTTCAATATAAGAAAAATTATTCATTTTTAAATATGACAATGCACATTCGTAGTTTTAAATTTGTTGTACACGTTGTTTAAGATGTATCACAAAAATAAATGTGAATGTTTTGTATTTGTAGTTTATTTTGTGTAATGTGAATGTATTTGACTTGCTCTTACTAGAAATTAAATTTACTAAATTATAAAAGAAGGCTTAACAATAGCACCGTACTACAGAAGCTGAAGTCAAATTCTAAGTCCATACTTTAATATCAAGTCGTTCAGATATCCAAGGTAGCATCAGTTTGCAATTTCTCAGATGAAGACGATTTAAATATTAGGATACACGATCTTACTGAATTATATTAAAGATAAATATTTTATTTCCAGAACATTATAACTCATATTCTGGCTAAACTAAATAGAAACAATACATGAGATTGAAATACAGATAATATGAAATATAATTTGCTGAATAAATGATTTAATATTACTTCATAAATCATACTTTAGTTTTATTAGGTAAAATTAGTTTTATATATTTTTAACATAGCTTAACGCAAATTTTATTAGACGTGACAACATGCTAGATAATAATCTGTATACTTACAGTAGCTATAAAAGGTACGTTATTAACTAGCTCTAGGATGAAGTTGTAAGATAAAACATGATGCCATAAGTTGCCCTGCAAAATAAAACATATTATATGAAAGAAATATCAGATTTAATACACAAATACTCATATATATAATTATTGCTTATTTTATTAAAACATGTAGATTATTTTAATTCATATATAGAAGATCGATTATCTAAACTGAGAGCAGCCAAGATAGGTTTTCATCACATGCCTGCATAGTTAAAAATGATTATTTCAAATAAAAACACAGTCATCATTACATTAGAGTCCAGATTGCTCCTCATAAATGGGATTGAATAGCACATGAGAATTCGGGATTATCGTACAACAAACTTACTGAAGATCACAAGTTACTCGGATCTTCAGTACAGGTTACTGAAGATCCGAGGCACAAGTATCCTTAACTAAATCAGAGGCACAAAAACAATACAATCCTGTTTCGCGTAATAAACGTCCCTCGTAATGTACCCGCGCAACATGCGGAAAATGTTCCGCATAGCAAACGATATTGACCTTTTCTGGAAAAGATAGAGAAATGTACTACGTAGCAAGAAGAACAAATCATTTTACTGGGCTAAAGGTTATAAATGTTACAATAATACCTTTCTTAGTAGGTAATGTAAATGGAGTTCTGCAGCTGATGGTAGTCCATCACTTAGAGAATCCCTGAGTATTAAATCAAAATTACGTGTCTTATAAATAAATATCACAAAACTTGGAAACCCAAACTTGGTTAATGGAAGTCTTGTATCTGATCTCAAACACATTTAGCTAGAGTTTAATTGATATTGTTTCAGGTCATTCCTAACACTTGTGAGGGAAAAAGGAGTTTAAGCACAAGTTTCTAAAGATCTAGTATTCAATCCTGAACTAAATATTTCAGATTCAGCTGACAAACCCCGAGGTGGTATTAACTGAATGAACGAGCTTTCCTCAGAAGGTAAATTAAATTTCATCGGACATAAATTTGATGCCGTGGCATTCATCAGACTATCTGCAAGGAAGATCCTAAATCACTCAAAGAGCTTGCAGAAGTAAGTCTATTTCATTTCTACGCCTAGATTGTGCAACTAGAGAATGACACCATGAGGAAAGAGATTGCACTCACAGCATTGAAACTGGATGAGCAACACACAGAAGGGCTGCTACAAGAGCACCAAGATGAGCTCCTCGCAGAATTGTAAGCCCTTCTAGAGACAATGAAATAAATCCAAGATAGAAGTTTCTTAGTGGAAAGAAAAAGAGATCACAAAGGGATTTATGTCCATTACAAACATCAAGAACTCAAACCTGGAAACAAGCAGTGGTATCTTAAGAATTTCTTTATATCTGGAACTAATCCAAATCAACGGCATGGATAAATCGCGTACGCAAGAAAAATAATTTCGGTTTACCGAATATTTTGCAAGGCAAACGGTCTTCAGCAAAGAACTGCAAAGAGGTTTAACTGCAATATATTATTCAAAATGCTTATAATAATAACAACAAATTTTAACATCAAATGAATTTTCCGGGAATGTTCGTTTAGATAAGTGACTCTACTGACGTTTTCTAATTAAATAAGAATTGGCTTACTAATTATTATATACTCTTCTTTAAACCAAATTATATGTTTCAGAAAAAATGCACAGAAAAATTTGATTACCCCAATAAATAATAATTCTTGATTTTCCCCGTCTTCTAATCTGCTGTAAATACCTTTGTTCTTCACCTTTTATAAACAACTGATGAGTATTAATTTTAGTTATCTGTCTTTGATTAGAGAGCACAGTTCTTTTGCATTTAGGCGCCACAATCAGGAATAATACTATCAGTAAACATGATTTTCCTGCCACAAGCAAAAAATATGACGGATTAAATAAATGAAATTAAAATGGAAGAATGGCAAAGGAAAAACAGTTAAGTTAAAGAACAGAGAGAAATCCTAACGATCTAAAATTTGATTTGTACAAGGTTATTGAGTTCGGGAAACACCTTTGTGTTTTGTAAATTGTTATAGAAATCAAAGCTAAATGTTGGATATGGAGCGACTGGTAGAAAGCACAAATTCTTGAGAGCCATGAGTATTAGAAGTGCAATCTTGAAGATCATTGCGTACCTTCCACGAAAATTTTAGAGAAGGATTTCATTTAAAGTGCTATTTTATTAGAAGTATAAAGCGGAATTATGATACTTTATAACTATATTCCTTAGGAGAGTTACTTAAGGCTTCTGCAGCTATCTTATCCGCTCGGCCGCTGGTGAACCATTGTAATAAAGAAAGAAGAAATGCAAGATTTCCAAGAATTTCGCTCAATAAAATTTTCAGAATTTAGCCGTGATCTTCTTTGACACAGTTGATAGTTAAATTATTTTAAATTATTGATGGTTCAGATAAATGAGACCATGAGTAGAAATTCTACCGAGGTTTATGTAAAGGCACTTCTTTCGTATAATATTCCTATAACGGTATGGTCACATTGGTTTTGACTCTTCCATATAAAACGAGCCCACTTAAGTACATAAAGACAATGAACTTAACCGATATACTTCATAATGATATTATCCATCATAACGATTTATCCCATCATAACGATTTATAATGATGGGTGTCAAAGGCCTAAAATTATATCAGAAATATTATTTCATAAATATGTATATTTTACTGATAAAAATATATGAAGCTCAATTTTATCAGGCAAAGAGTCCATTTAAGTTAAAATCTAAGAAGTGTTTATCGTTTTTCAATATTCAAGGCAAATAATTAAAAAAGTAACGATAAAATGGCGTGATGAAAGCTAATGACGGTGAAACAATGACAAAAAACAATGATGATTTCTCTAAAATGCTTGACAAGATTTCTGTGTAGTAAATTGGATCGATGTGAGTCATACTTGAAATGTTTAAAAAATAAGTCATACTTGAAATAAAAGCTCCAAATTTCGTGAAAGATTTTCTTTCACTATTTGGTTACTGATGAATCCGAAATCAATAAATAGGTAATAATTTGAATTGTCAGAAAAGCGAAAAAATAGGAATCACGAAAGGAATGAATATTAATAAGTTGCTTGGTTTCACCTTGTTGTTTTACTCTTCTATCAACCTATAATTTCAGAGCGAAAAATGGCATACCCACACACTGATGTTACGGCCAAATTCTGTAGGAGTTCCTCGACGTTTACAGAATTGAGAGTAAGATATACTTCTCAGGATTACTCATCAGATTTTTAATTTTAGACTTTAACTTCACTGATTTCGCTGTACCTTTTTTTACATATCAAATCGTTTTTGTTGTTTCTCTTTTACCTAAGTTCACACCAAGAGATTGCAAGTATATGTTTTGATGTCGCACTCAACGGAATATTTATCTGACTTGGAAACTGTACTTTTAATTCCTAGACTTAACGTTTCCTATTTAAATTATAATTTAATGTTCATATAACATTATTTTTTAACATCATTTTCAGACGACACCAGACGCTTCTCTTTTTTTTCGTATAATTCCTGTCTGCGTCCACGAATGAATTAAAAAGTCAACAAAACAAAGGTTTTACTTTCAGTCCTCCTTTCCTAGTTTGGAAGCAGCCTTAAAAGATAACACTGGTTGGTAGAGCAGGAATTTTAGAAGGACTCACTATCTTTCATAGAGACACAATTACAGAATTCAGGGGTATAAAATAATTTTAGCAGTAAGGATTTAAGCAGAAAATAATTAAAGTTGTTTGGGGGGAATCTATGTCTTTTTTTATCACAGAGATAGTGAATTTTTTAGGCATTACAATAGAAAGCCTTTTCTATTTCTCTTTCGGTAAGCTCTGATATGAGAAAAAAAATGAAGGCGGGATTGAGCATGTTGCAGAATTTGTAAATTCGTATCAGAACAATTAGGAACTCATGCTTGATAATTTTCAGAACTTCAGAGTCAAACCGTTCTTGGAGAAGGTTATAAATCCAACTCTAAATGGAAAAATTTTCAAACTTGAACAAATATTTGAATTTTATTAAATTGCAAAGGTTTAAATTTTATAAAAACTGGGACAACCATGACGACGTTGATAAGCAGCGAGCGCAACTAAAATGAAATGAAAAATAATCTTCTCAGTAAAAACAAGGACACCTTTTTCTAACCAGAAATTTTCTTCCATCGCAATAAAATATTAACTTTGCAAGTATGACGTAAGTTGTGCCTACTGTGAATTTTAGAAATCTATGTATCATAATATATGCCATTGTCGTAAATTTTAATTATTTTGAATATAGAATCTTATAAAAATAAATAAACATTGTCCTTATTTATCTATTTACTGGTGAAACTTAATTGCCTATGTTGATGCTTCCTATTTTAACAGTTCGTGTACAGAAGCCACAATCTCAGCTTGCGTCGTTGTAACTTCCGTCATTTGCGTAGGAACGAATGGTTTAGAAATGTAATTAGCTTTCATAAATTTATTTTGATTAAAATGCTTCTGTTTTTATAATGGCTAAATCCCAGTACAATGGCTATTTTTTGTCTTCAAAATACTCAAATCCGAAAAATACTTTTTATTCTTTATCTAACAAAAAGGAATTTAATACCTTTCAGAGGCATATGTTCTCTATTTTTCAGCCTGCAAATGGTATGACAATAGCAAAAGAAAAATATACGCTTTTAGAAACGCCGACTTACACAGAACATATAGTCTAAGCAGCTTAAGAAAGACTTACTTTTAGTAAAGAAGGGTGTTGAAACTGTTTCAAAGGGTTCCTTAGAAAGGAATTATTTTCAAGAAAAGCATTATTTGTAATCCTTTTCTCCATTCTGACGTTTTCATAATCGAGATGTATGTTTCAGACATGCAAAACGCTTTAAGCAAAAGCCAATTTTCTTTGTATCAAATCTTGAAGACTGGTTTGATGGGCTTTAATCAGCTTGAAAACCAGTTTTAGCAGTTTCTGGATTTATATGCAAAGGATATTTTACAACAATTTTTATATATTTTTATTTTTATTTTAAACATTTTTCAGAAATAAAATCATTTAACAAAAAATGTAAATGAAGTAGTAGAATATTATCGAATGAGCTTCTGACAGATATACGAATACAGAAATCTCCGACTAGGGGAAACAGTTTACAGTCTGATGAGTCTGATTATGCTGAAGAGCATATTTTTTTAGCTAAGGAAATCGGAAGTCAAACTTTGCGATTTACGATATCGATCGTACAGATGAAAGAAAGTTGGACAGCAAATTTGGCTGTTTACGAAATCAACTGTTCAGTAAAAGAAGATCATCGAAATTTTGTTACGCGGTTGGGTTGGGTGGGGTGGAGAAATTGATTGGGCGTATAAAAACAGACTGGTGAAAAGATTTCGTCTTTTAAATACAGCGATCTCAAACTTGCGCTCGTGAAGCAATTTGATGCTGCCCGCGAATATATTTATTTAAATTATGTATTTGTTTTAAATTATAGTGTTTCAAAGGTTTCAAGAATTCAGTTACCTGATGTTCAAGTTTACATTACTTTCATTACAGTGAAAAATGAATTAGAATAACGTACCAAAAAATCTGTAACAGATCAAACAGAAAAACACAGCTAAGTAGTTTAAAGCATACTATAAATCTTATTAAATATCTAAAAATAAAGATAATCTTGTAAAAAAAATATGTAAACTCAATGAAGAATTTTTGTAATAAGAATAATCGCTTTGTAAAGGAATACATTTACATGTGAACAGCCGTTTTCACAGCTCAAAATTAATAAGAAAATAATTCGTTTGAGCGATGAGCGTTTCTAATCTGTGATGAAAATAATTTCCAGTAATTTCTACCCAAGTTTATGAATTTTATCACAATCGAAAGGCCAACAACTGTCAAGCTATATTAAATAATAACGAAGTTTATAATTATTTACATACAAACACATATTTTTATGTATGCGTAGAAGTAAATTTAATAAATAAGAGAGATACTAGATTCTAAAGTTTGGCCCACTTTGAAAACTTAAAACGTTTTCTTAATCTGTTTATTTTATTTTAAATTAAAGTCAGTTGCTTAATAATTAAGTAAGCACGTTAGAATTTGAAATAAATGTCCGTTGGAAAATTTCATACTTAGCTGTAAATATGTTTGAATTGCAAAGTGTAACTAACAAAAATGTCTTGTATGGCCAAACTTATACTCAGATAAAAAATAAATATTGTTGCATGTGTACGGTTTTTTAATGGATTAAATGCACACAGAACCGATCATAGATTTATAAAGTTTATTTTCCCAAAAGAAACACTGTACAATTCTGGAACTTTCTTTAGAAATACTCCTACAGCTTTTCTCAGTATAAATGAGCACAATCAGTAGTTACTACTTTAAATTACTTAGAACGTTAAACACAATGCAATGCAAAGTGCATCTAACAAACGAAGCTCGCAAGGAGACCTTTCAGTACTCCGAAGTCTACTCCGAACTGAAAAAGAGAGAACTCATGCTCTCTCCGGTCTTAGATAGTTTTATACCAGCCAAAGAGGAGTTTCCAGTGCCTTCCATTTTTCGAAATTACTGGAAGGCGTATAGGTTAAAGTTACAACTAACGGCCTAATACTGTTTCAATTATACATATAGTGATCAATTACAGTTATTCAATTACAATACTAATTACAGTTATAAGCAAGCGATAAGCAACGGAGGACGTGGGCACTGTCTGTCCCTTTACCAAAAGGTTAATCGGTATAGCACCACGTCCACATATAATTACAGTTATAAAGGGACTGGACCGAAATGTACGGAACGGTTGCAAATTTGACGACTTTTAGCGATTTGGGGCCAACTTTGGTGACAATAATCGTCGCCAAAACCACCGCCAGCTTGGCGAGATATCGCCAATTTAGCCATTTAAAGAGTAAAGAGACTTTCCCCACTAATTAACTCAACATTGTGTGGACTCAATAAATAAATAGAGTGTTAGATATATAAAAATTACTCTAAATTCTGATAAGTAGACTGCTTTACTAGTGAAAATACCCTGCTGACCATTTAAATTTCTACACCAGAAAGGAAAACAAATCACAGAATTTTATTTATTGTACATACACCGTATAATGGGAGGAAGACATGATTAAATTTAGTCGTTTGTGGAACACAGCTAACTGAATTAAGTGCACAGAGTTGCCACCTCTGGCAGCGTAATTGTGCATCAAATCGAACTAAGCTTAGATATGAGTACTTCATTCCATGCGGCTTCAATACTATGCGAGACTTCATCAATCATAGTGGCTGACGTGCCAGTATGGCCAGTACCTCGGCAATTCACCAGATGTTCTCAATGGGTGAGACATTTGGAAAAGTGCTGGCCAGGTTAACAGTCGAACACTGTGTATATCGAGGAAGGTCAGAACGGCTCGAAAAAAAAATGGTTTGTGCATCGGTAATCTCGCTGAAAGATGGCATCACGAAGGCCTTGAAGATAGAGCATAATCAGAGACCTTAACACACGTCATAAATGTAAAGGAAGCTGTCCACATTACCCGGCTATGTAAACAAGATGTGTATCCATCGGCACCTCATAACAGCACGCCAGATGTTGGGCTCGAGTTATACGTAGACGAATGCAAACCGTCAACATTTATTTTGTTCAGTGCTTCCACACAGGAATGCGTCCATCATGATGCTCTGCATTGAATAGAAATTCGCCTGAAAAGACGACGCACGGGGAATACGTACGTGGCATTCGGGATAGGGCCCATCCGTACGGCAGTCAGTGTCACTAACCATTATACCGCTGGACAGCTAATTATGCTTACACCAACAAAATTAAGAATATTGCGAAATCTGACTGTAATGAGAAATAATGGATTCTCATTCATACTTTAAAGTTTCCGAAATGCCTGACGGAAGAGCAATAAACTTTTAATAGCTTAATTTTTCAACTAAGTTAAAGATTAATTATACTTTCTATGAATATTAATGCAAATTTTTACTTGCTAATAATTTTATTATCAAAATTCGAACTTGAGTCACCTTTGAAAGCTTTTTTCGAAGCCATTTTAAAACACATAAACAGTTTGTTGTTTTTGTTGTCGTGACTTATCATCTCACTTGATGACAGTAATATCAGAAGAAGCCCACGTAATTCATCGTGGCAAGCAGTGCAAGATGACACCTGTCGTTGGCAATATCCTTGAGCACCATATAAGTGACAGTAAGACATTTCTCAGTTCCGCCGCCAATTTTGAAGGAGAGCATACTGGGAGGGAGCGGGTTCGAGGGTCTCTCAGTCACTCACCCCTCTTCCCCTACCACCAAACTCTCGAGAGGACTTTCGGGTTGTCACATACCCAAAGTATCCCCATGCCACAGAGACACTATACATTTACCGACATCCATACCTTTTCCGGGATACGAATCCGGGCCCTTCTGTACTGCAGTTAGCGTCGCTAACTACTATTCAAAAACAAATAGCTGAATTTATGTAGTTTTCTTATGTACACTAATTAAGTACCACATAAACTTCAGTTTTATTTGGCCTTCAGTATAAAATTTTATGTCATATAGCTATAAGTAAATTTTTTAATCCCTTTTAACTTACAAGTTAATCCAAATTATTTTTACATCCCCGTTATTGATTAATATAATCAATATAATGCATAGTATTGCAAATTATTAAATGACATAAAATTTGAAACTGCAAATGAAAGAAAATATGATTTGCAAATAAGAATAACAATACATTGTCTTTATTGTATGTTTATCTTTTTTATAAAAAAATATGAACAAAAACTATTAATGTCAAACAGCACCTTATCTAATAAAGAAAGGTTTTAATAGAAAAGAATTTTTACTCACTTTGTAACCTAAATAAACTAGCAGTAAGGCTTCTGTAAGACTCACAGTGGATAGCACCATCTAAGAGATAAGGAAAGAAAACATCTATTATTTTGACAGAATAAGCCTTTCTTTGAATTCTCTTTCATTGTAAAACAAATAAGATGTTAGTCGTAATTTTGTTTTGTTGATTTGCAGGAAAATGATTTCTGACTACCAAAAATTGCGTGTAAACTAGAATGGAGTTAACGAATAAAAAATGCATATATCTTATTTAAACTGAAAAAAAAAATTATAGTTAAATAGAAATTTCTTTCAGACGAAAATAAGAAAATCATTAATATTTAAAGACTGCTTGTTTCATTTATTTCAAAACTAAAAATAAATTAAGAACTCAAAAATGCTGTATACATGATATATCAAAAAGTGGAACGTTTTTACACGAGCGGATTTTCTTTTCGATTCGTATTTTAAAAGCAATATTAATTATCACAATTCATATACAAAATGACGATAGATAAACATCATTTTTCGCATTCGGTAATATTTATTCGTTACCATTAAAACTTATAATTTACAGTCTTTTTTTAAACTAAATTTATTTTACTCGAAAGACTTAAATTTAATATTAACATTATATCCCCAATGTATGCCACAATTAACAGAATAAAAATTTCGTAATTTTATTATTTGTTTAAAGCAAAATATGTTCAGTATTGCTCTTAAACTTTCTGGTCGACACTAGATTATAGCAAATTTCCTACAGACTTCATTTTGTCAAATATCGATCCTAGGCACCTACTTTTAATTACAAATTTCCTCAAGCAGGTAATGTCACGAAAAACAGTTTGGGTACTGGACACAGGAGAATTTCATGAATCGAAACAGTAATTTTGCGTATGATCCCAGGGGAGTATAAATTCAAGCGATTAAGTTACTTTAATTTATGCTTTAATAATTTAAACATGAAAAGTTCCATTAATTTATGTGCAAAATTTACCGCGCTATTAAAATTTAATTATTTCATGGGACTAGCTATAAAGTTAACAGCGAGAGTTTTTTACTTTATTAGTCGACAAATATGCAAATTTGTTTCGCAGTTTCCCCGTGAATTTGATAAAAGTCTGAATAAATATTTTTGTGAGAGGCACTAGAAGATGTTTAAATCAGTAAATTCTTTCTGCATTATCTTCCTGAATTTTGCAATTAAAAGTGTACAAGGCTTTAATATTATACGAGCTTTAATATATAGTATTTAATACGAGCAATTTAGGTTTGATTTCTCTGCATTATGAAGACCACATAAAAGTCTTATGATTATAAAATGATTGTTGAAACTCTTTTTTAATAAAACTATGTATCTTATTCTGAGAAACCTCGCACTTTGATGTAACGTTTGGGATTTTTATTTAAGCAAATACAGCCTATTATATTTAACTTTTTGTTGGAAATCTAGCAAAGCGTCCCGGAATTTATATAAAGCATCATATGAAAATGTTGCAGTCAAGTACCTGCCCACATACATGTCAAATGCTAATGACCTGTTATCCATCTTCTTCATTTTGTCTTTTATCACATATCATAGGCTGACACATCCTGTTCATCTGCTTTGTAAATCTCAAGGACAACACCCATTAAACTTTATGTTCCTTTTGGAGCAAGTATGCTTCTTTGGTGAGGAACCAAGTTTTGTACTACGTCCAAATGCTCAACATCACCAAATAAAACTTCAAACACAATTCAAATACCGTATATAACAGGGTTGGCCAAACTTCATGCCAGTAAGAGCAGCACGTTTGAATTCAGGAATGTTCGAGAGCCGCATCTAGATTTTCTAAAATCCACAAGTTCATACTGTTACGTTTTTCTTTTCTGACACCAGTTGTTATGTTATTTTCTTCCTCCACGTTCGTACGGGATTCGTAGATTTGGAGTGAATAACGGCGACACTTGATGAAATATCGAAGCACACTTTATTAGTCAATATTGTCAGGACAGCTCCAAAATACGTTTTTATAGTCGTCGATGAACTACTATAAACACGCTGACACGATCAGCGACACAGACTCCAGGTTATCAGGTTATCACGGTGGAGACAGCTTCACTGCAGAGCACTAGAGTACAGCTCCAGACTCTACTTGGTCGTTCTCGGAACTCCGTGTACTCTCGACACTCTTCACGCTACAACTCACGATGCACTCGACAACACACAGAGCACAGCTCCCGACTCTTCGGTTCAGTCGTTCTAGGAGCTCAACACGCTCTCTCGACGATGCACTAACCGCGATACACTAGGAGACTCTTTCGTTGCACTAGACGACCCACTCGGCACTCGCTGCCCGGCTGTCAACTCGATCGACTCTGCAGAGATTGACTCGCTAGACGAGACACCAACTCGATACTAACTAGACGAGGCACACTCACCGCCCTCTCGATGAAGCACACTGACTGACTGCGGACCAGCAGGGTTTATATAGCTTTCGGCTTGTGTTCGAGAACATTCTGGGCTAAACCGGTAAGAATTCGTTCCAGAAAGTTCTCCATCCGTCCATGGCATATCGCCAATTTTGCCGCCAAATGTGGCAACCCTGCCTTCCCTTGCCATTTTATAGCAACCCTAAAACTGCTTTGCGGGGAAGCTATCTCAGCGCGCCTGTAGATTTCGTAGCAATATTTACATCATTATAGAAGTAGTGGAGGTTTTAAATAGAAAAAAAATCCCTGATAACTTTGTAGAAAGAGTCTAAACTAATTAATTACTTCTTTTTGGTCACTGAATAGTTTTAGTTTACCATATTTCATACATATATTTTATATGCACGAGCCGCACAAATTGCCTGCGAGAGCCATATCAGGCTCGCGAGCCGCACTTTGGACACCACTGGTATATAATATAAAGAATGAGCTCGATGCGAAAGGACTAGTTATTTTTCTAATAAAGCTTAGAAACTTTAAAACTGAATTTTTGTGGTTTAGAATTCTATAGATAAACATTCAATTAACATTCACAAATACTGCGTATTACAGAACGACATAGAGTTCTAGTCTGGCGTATTAAAAGCTAACTGCATTGGCTAACCATCTGCTTTGTAAGAATATCGCCAGAAAACGCTGGTTAGTTATAAATGGTAAACATTTGGGTGGTCGGATGATTAATGTGCCCCAAGAGACATGCCTTTAAAGAGGACTTTCAAGAGGAAATTTCAAAAGGACCTTAGATATGAGCAGAAGAGAAAACCAATTCATTCATTCTCAAACAGCGAAAACCAGAAGGACCTGGCTTAGGTTTTCTTCCTCCGCCTTTTCTTTATCTTTTATTTTCTTTTATTTATTTATTTATTTATTTATTTGCTTTTTTGTCAAGTCACCAACTGGGCTATAAAAGAACGGAATTACATGATTTCTAAATACATCACAGTAATTCATTCGATGAACTGGAATTTCAGTACGTATTTTTATTTTGCTTTTAAAGCGTACTTATGATAATTATCCTCATAGCAGTTATCTTAGTTCATGGTGGTAGAAGATTCGATTGGAAGCATAATTTCATAGTTCCTTTCATACATTATATTTAATAACCTGTCACTTTCCCTTGAAAGTAGTGTACGTCGATATGAAAACATCGCATTTAAGACAATACTCCTGGAGTGTCATTCATATACTTATCAAAAATCTATGCAATTCAATTTTTCAACCGCATTTAGGACCTGAGTTTTTGAAAATCCTGCACAGTGAAATTGATTTTGAAAACTAATAAGGAAAATGTTTTCTTTACCAAAAAAATAACATTTTAAAATCGAAATTTTCATCCAAGTTTCGACGTTTTAAATTGATAATACAGTCTTAATGTATTTTCATCGTGAAATTGCAAAATAAGATTAAAAACTTAATAGCTATCAGTTTTGGTTATGTTATTATAGTAATGTGTAGAAGGGCATTTACTGTTGTAAAACAGAAGTAAATCCGAACAATATTTACATTTATAAATGAAATGCTCTATTTGTAAGCAAATGCATTAAACCAATTGTTTTCACATGAATTATTTGAAAATTTATTTAAAAAGAGACCCATAAAATGTCTTTGTGGTATTTACTTAAAAAGACAATGGCTAAAGATTATTTCTCTTCATAAAAAAATTATATTTACTCTTTCTTCAGTAATTGCTTCGCAAAAAAGAGGGTTCACATTCCAGAATGCCAATCCGTCACTAGTTTGAAAAAAAATGTGCATTATTAAAATAATGTTGCCCGCATATAATGCTTTCTCTTTCATCTCCAGAGAGGATAATACGTGAAAGGATGATGAAGTACGAAGTCGGTGTATTAGTTTCTCGTTTCTAAGCCTCGCTGTTATCCAGTTATAGAAACTCCCTCTCTCCCATCTGCCATGAATAAAAAAAGGGGAAAGAAAATGGGAAGAGAGAGAAAAAGATCGCAGTTTTTGAGTTTCGATTAAACTCGCTTTCAGATTCAAACAGATTTCTGTTGTTTATTCTTTGAATTTTAAGGAAAAATGCTTTAAGTAAAGATTGAAGAAAATAAAATTTTGTGTTTCGCATCACTATAAATTTGGATAAATTCGTTTTGCACTGTAACACTGATGAACTTTTTCATATAAAGGTTTACAGTTCCATTAAGATTTTAAATTTGCTGAGTGGACGAATAGCCGCTAGCAGTTTGAGGAATATTACCAAACTGAGCACTCCTCTTTCAGCATATTATGTGCAAAATAAGCAAACCAGTATAAAATAAAAAAAAGGCTCTCCCTTTCCAAAAACGGTTTAAGATTACCCCATAATAAGCTTCTTATTTTAGCGTATAAAATTAAGAAAGAGGAAAAATCCTAAATTTTATGTAATACCACAGGCAAGAATCAAAACTCATTTATCCGCATTCGACAATGTCTTTGACCGAGATTTGTCCGCATTTGGCATGACAGGTTAATATTTAAATAGATCAGATAAAAAATCTGGCTAAATTATCTTACTCATAAAACTCTTTTTCGATAAGAGCAAATTCAGTGTAAGATAAAGCGAATAATTATTTGGACTTCAAAGCAGTATTGTATCTGATACTTGTTCA